AAAAAAAAAAAAGGCAACAAAAAGCAATAAAAGGGATATGTATAGGAAAAGAGCCAGGAGTGACAGTGCACACCTATAATCCCAGCACTTGGGAAGCTGAGGCAGGAGGACTGACTTGAGTTCAAGGCCAGCCAGGGCCACATTACATAGTGAGTTCAAAGCTAGCCTGATCTATATAGCAAGACCCTGTCTTAACCCGCACCCCTCAGAAAGGAAAAGAAGTCAAATCATCATTATACGCAGATGACATGATACTTTGGATAGAAAACCCAAAAAAATCTACCAAAAGACTCTTAGATTACAGCTAGACATGGAGGCGCACACCTGTAATCCCAGCACTTTGAAGGCTGAGGCAAGAGGGTCACTGCAAGTTCAAGGGCAGACTGGGCTACATAATGAGACCCTGTTCCCCCCAAAAGACTTTTAGAATAAGTGATCAAATTCAGGAGTGTAGCAAGATACAAAATCAACCCACAAAAATCCATAGCATTCCTGTACACTAATAATGAGCCCACTGAGAAAGAAATTAGGAAAAAATATCATTCACAATAGCTTTTCACCAAGAAAAATTAAATGCTTAGGAATTAACCTAACTAAGGAAGTGAAAGACCCCTATACCAAAAACTGCAACACCCTAAAATAGGAAATCAAGGAGCACATCAGAAAATAGAAAGCTATCCCCTGTTCCTGGATAGGCAGAACCAATATAGTCAAAATGGCCATACTTCTGAAACCGATACACAGATTTAGGCAACCCCAATTAGAATGCCAACCGCATTCTTCACAGAACTGGAAAAAACAGTCCTAAAATTCATATGGAGCCACAAGAGACCCAAATAGCAAAAGCAATCCTGGTAACAAAAGCAAATCAGGAGGCATCACAATACTCGACGAAGTTATATTTAAAAAGCTACAGTGTAAAAACAGCATCGTACTGGCACAAAAACAGACATGGGGATCAATGGAACAGAATAGAGGATGCAGAAACAACTCCAAGCACATTGATCTTGATTTTTGACAAAGGGGCCAAAAGCACACACTGGAGAAAAGATAGCCTCTTTAATAAATGGTATCGGGAAAACTGGCTACCCACATGCAGAAGATTGCTCTAGACCTACATCTCTCACTACGCACTAGACTAAAATCAAAATGGATTAATGGACTAAATGTTAAAACAGAAACATTTAGCCTGTTGTACAATAAAATAGGAAAAACTCTTGAAGTCAGACATAGGCAAGGACTTGCTGAACAGAACTCCAATTGCGTAGGAAATGGTACCAAGAATCAACAGATGGGATCATACCAAATTAAAAAGCTTCTGCACAGGCGCCGGAGATGTAGCTCAGTGGCACTGCAGTTGCCTAAGCAAGCACAAGGTCCTGAGTTCAAACCCTGGTACTGGGAGAAAAAAAGCTTATGCTTAGCAAAAGAAACAACCAATAGAGTGAAAAGACTACCTGTGGAATGGAAAAAAAATTTTGCCAGCCATTCCTCAGACAGAGGACTAATATCTAAAATATATGAAAAACTAAGAAAAATTAGACTCCCCAGAATAAGATTCACTAAAAAATGGGCAAATGAAATGAGTAGACAGTTCAAGGAAGAAGTACAAACGGCTAGTAAATACATGAAGAAATACTAAACATCGCTGGCCATTAGAGAAAAGCAAATTAAAACAACACTGAGAATGTCAGAATGTCCATCTTCAAGAAATCAAATAATAACGAATGCTGGTGAGGCTGAGGGGGTGGGAGGAGGAACCCTTGTACATTGGTTGTTGGGAATGTAAACTAGTACAACTACGGAAACCAGTATGGAGATTTCTCAAAAAACTAAAACTAGAGGACTGGGGATTTAGCTCTATGGTTCTGCCACCTGCCTCACCTCTCAAGAGCAAGGACCTGAGTTCAATCCCCAGTACCAAAAAAAAAAAACCACCCAAAAAACTAAAACTAGAAATTCTATTTAACCCAGCTATTCCCCTTATAGATATCTTTCCACAAGAATTAAAAACATCATATTACAGGGATACATGCATATCCATGTTTATAGGAGCACAATTCATGATAGCCAAATCTTGGAAGCAGCCTATATATCCATCAACAGATGAATAGATAAAGAAAATGTGGTATTTACACACAGTGGAGTACTACTTGGCCATAAAGAAAGAAAAATTTGAGTCATTTGTAGGAAAATGGATGCACCTTGAGACCATAATGTTAGTGAAATAAATCAGACACACAAGCTTATAGCACATGATTTCTCTTATGTGAAAAACCCAAATTTTAAATAAAGAGCAAAATAAAAGATAGTAGGAAACAGAGCTATCTCAAAGGGTAGGGGATCAGGAGATGGAGTGGAGAGGGAGAGGAGGGAATTATTAAGATGTGTTACATACATGTGCCAACTCCACGTGAGGAATGTAAACATTATGTACTGCAAATATGTACTAATTGTTTTTAAAGGACGTAGTAATCTGGAGCTGTGAAGTTTCGAATGCCCGAAGACTGGGTTTGACGTCTCTACCATGAGGCCTGATTTGTCTTAAGGGTGCTCTGCTGAGGCTTTTCCATCTTGGGATGCTCAAGGGAGAATTCTCCCTCAGGAGATGTGAACTTAGAGTCACCATATATCTGAAGAGGATCAGAACCATATAACAACAACTCAACAATCGAACATACACTCAAGGAAACAGAAAAAGTAATACAATCAGAAAAGAACTTAAGAGAGAGAAAACCCTCTGACTGGAATTAGATTGACCTTAGACCTGCAGTAGGGCCTGGCTAACAGAATGGCTCTTCCTCTCTGTGTTTCTCCTTCTTGGAACAGCTCTGGAAGGTACTGTAAACACAGTCTGTTCTGGGGTAAGAGACCCAGAACCAGCAAATTAGACAGAAGGATGAGAGAGACCAGAAAGAAGGTAGGATAGACTGCTAGGCCTATTCATCCATGGACAAATGGACGCTGATCCATGTTTGTCTTCAGAGGTGGCACACATGACATTAGCAGAGGGAAGTCGTGGATGAGGAGGGAGACAGGTTAGTAGGGCAAGAAGTAGGTAGAAAGGAAAACAAGTAGGCAGAAGAAGGACTCACAAGAAAGTGAGGGTCGGGCTGGGGATTTACCTCAGTTGTTCGACCACCTGCCTTACAGGCATAAGGTCCTGAGTTTGATCCCCGTTACCAAAAAAAAAAACCAGAACAAAACTGAGAGTCAAGCAGGTGAGAGGGAGTAGAGTCACATGGGCAGGCAAGCAGATGCCAAGTTGATGCTCACCTTCACTTGGGTCTGGATCTGGAAGCTGAAGGTTTCGTTCCACTCTGGGTTTGGGCAGTTGGAGATGGTCCTGGTCCTCACCTTCTCAGAAGAGGCAGTGGGCAGCCAGAGGCTCACAAAGCAGTCTGTTTGGCTCACTGTCCAAGGAAGACAAGACTTGAGGAGGAGGGAGAGAAGCCGACCCAGTTCAGAGAGGAGAGGGCACGGGCTCAGACAGGTCTCTTGCAGAGTGAGGTCCTCTCAGCTCCAGGCCCTCTCCTGATTCAGGGCCCAGCTCTGCAGATGCCTTTGCCCTAAGACCCTGAGAGGGTCACAGACTGCAGGCTGTACATTCACAAAGGGAATCAGGACCCCTGACCATTCACATGGACGCAGATGGCCTGAAGCAGAAGCACCCCAGGCTCTGAGCAAATTCCTGCTGCTTTGGGACAAGGCATGGCCACATAATTTCCCCTTTGTCAGGACAAGGTGTGGAAGAACAGCCCAAAGCACCTGGTTTACTTCTTGCCTTATCATCAGGGAAATAAAAGCAGGCCAAGCTTTTCCCCCTGAGCTGAGGAGATGTGGGGCTGACAGGGTAACACCGCCTGCAGTAAGTTGACCAAGGGTGCCCTTGTGGGAACGAGCCAGTCAGCAGGGTCCACCATCCCCACTGGGCTCAATGCCTCAAGGGCTCCCTGCTAGGCTCTTCATACCTGCCCTGGTCTCCCAGCTCAAGGAAACCCTCATACCTGTCAACAAGTACTTTTTTTTTTTTCATTCTATAAAACAACCTGAGTTCCTCTATATGCCCTGAAGAAGGGCCAACAGCTTTGACCCCAACAGACCTTTTCAAAATGGAAAGAAGCAGGCAGGCATGATGTAACATGGCTCTATTCCTGACTGCTGTGGAGGCTGAGACAGGGTTGAGAGTTCTAGGCCAGCCTGGGTAACAACAAGGCCCTATTTAAGGAGAAGGAGGAAGAGGAGGAGGAGGAGGAGAAAGAAAGGGGAGAATGGGAAGAAGAGGAAGAAGAGAAAGAAGAGGAAAGAGGAGGAGGGGTGGTAGGGAGGAGGAGGGAAGAAAGGAAGGAGGGAGGGAAGAGAAGGAGGGAGGGATGGAGGGACCTCTCTTGAGTCGTCTGGTTGGAGCAGCAGAAGGGATGTGGAGGATTCGCAGCCCATCCTGGCTCCCTCCCTGTTCTGCCTCTGTGGAGGGAGGAAGAGGTGCCAGGCCTGTCGTTGTCAGTCTCTCAACAATCTGCTGAGGTAAACTCCAGGGTACACACCAGGTCGTAGAGAATGGTAACAGGCAGCACAGTTTCCAGTGTCAGAGTCCTCCAGAGGTAAAGCTGGTGAGGATGGGCATTCTACACCGATAGTTGATAATTATTAATAATCGTTAATGAGATGCCACCAAGGCTGTCCCCCAAGACTGACTCAATCTAACTGTCACCATTCTGAAAGCTTATCAGTCTCAGTAACATTTTTTGACCCAGGCATTCCTGGCCTCTGACCTTACCCCTGATCAATGAGAGCTCACCATTCAGTGAATAGGAATGCACATCCCTCTTCCCATTGAATAAAAGTGAGATGCCACAGTCCTTGATGTGTGATAATAGTCATCTCATCTGGGTAGAAAGAATGACCAAGCCTCAGCAGAATCAGAAGAAAAGGATCCCCCACTCATCCCCACTGCCCTGAACAACTCAAGGGCCTAAGACCATACCCAACCTGTTCATCTTGCTGTCAGCACGGGCAACCCAGCCAGCAACCCAAGTCCCAGTCTATACTGAACCCTTCTAACTTCACCTCTCTCAACTGCACCACCTCTGTCTGCACTGCCACAGCCCTGGAACAGGCTGCTATTGTCTCTGGGGGCTCTTCCAACTGCACTCCTTGCCTCCTGTCTTGCCCCATCACACACTCACATTCACACACATGCACACAATGCTCTTGCACATCCACACCAAAGGCAGTCCCTCGGGTCTCCAGAGCTGTCTAGCCATGTTGCCTTCAGGCCTTTGCATGGGCTTGTCCTTCTTCCTGTGACTCCTCTCTCTTTTCCACCCTCCCCTCTCCTGGGTGGCCCCTCTGGTTTCAGGAGGAAGCTCCTCTGGAAATCTTCCTTGGTGCCAAATGTGGCCCAGAGCTCTACTCCTCTCCTGGAGATGCTCTTGTTACTCAGCACTGATGGCAGGGCTCCCCCATCTTCTCTACCTCTCTGTGAACACCAGAGGGCTGCGGCAGGATGCTATGTCTCCCACCAGATGTCTTGAATGAATGAATGAATGAATGAAAATCTCAACTTCCTGCTTTAGGGTTGTACCAGTACCTGTGAAATTCTACTGAGTCACTGTATACCCAGGTAAGCAGGTTGGCGTGTCTAATTGCTCTGCCCACAGGCAGATGCACCGGGCACCTGCTCTTCCTCTCGGACCCCTCCCTTGGCTTTTCCTGTACACAATCCCTTCCTGCTAGGCCTGGAATATTCTCCTTACATCTGCTTCCTATGTGATGAGAGCCTGCAGGCTGGGACCAACCAACTCTATACCGATTGGCTCTCTAAGGGCTGCCGCACATGCCTGACTTGATAGACCCGTGAAAGCCTTCTTCCCTCTAAAATTGTTTACCTATCATCGGTCCATGCCATTAAATACACTAAGTAAAATTGCAGGATTTTAGCCTAATGCATAAGTTCTAGTTAAGTTAAAAAATACTGGAAGAGACAAGATTGACTAGATATCCGCACTACCAACATTGACTCTCAGCTCTATTGCAGAAGGTTGTCTGCCTCCCAACACAAAAAATGTTGGGAATGAGGAGAGGGAATCCTGCGGAAGTGGGTGAGGGAGGAGGATCAGCCAGGGCTTGGGGGACAATCGGGGCTGGCTCTAAGTGTCGTGGCCATGACACTGGCCATGAGGGATGATAAAGCAGGGGTGGGCCAACCTCAGAATTTCTAGGACTCCAGGGATTTCCTGGCAAAGTCAGGTTCTAGGCTTTACTTCCCATGGAGTGACAGAGGGCTTGGTCATAAGAATGATGTGTACTCTTTCTTGGATTGTGGGTTTCAGAGATGACTCAGTCATCTTCCCAGATGTTCACAACATTGTCTCTCCAGTGCCTCTGGACTCACCTACATGATGCTCCTTGAGGTGCTGGTTTGGGTTTTAATTAGCATTTCCAAGAGGGATAAGAATTCTTAATGGCTGGAGGTTTCTGGGCCGGAGTGTCCCCAGTCCTGGTCCAGAGCTGGGCCATGTGCTTTTTTAGTTCTTGCCACAGGGCTCATCCCTGAAGCTCTGTGTACTCCTTGCCATTAGCCTCCTCACAATCTTGGGAAACACAGGCTAGACAGGTTACAGCCTAAACTGCAGAGCAGTGCGCTTTGGATTCAAGCTAGAAGGGAACAGTTTTGAGCAAGGGTAGCCCAGGACCCAGAAGCCATCAGGATAGTCTGAACCTAACCAGGGAAGGAAGAAAAATGCCTCAGGCCTTGCTATTGGATTCCAGACCTGATGTGACAGAGCCTGGGACCCCAGCTGCCACAAATGCCCTCTAGGTCCTTGGGGAGTGAAGAAAACATAAGTAACAAGAGGAGGCTGGTAGAGCTAGACTGAAGCCCTGCTGCTGGTCTCTGGGAGACAAGTGTAGCAGGGAGAAGCAGAAGAAGGGGTACTGGACCCTGGGAAGGTCTGGCATACAGGTGTGGACATGCAGAGTGAGTGCCCGTGGCCAGGTGACTGGAGGGGCTGGACAGACACACCTCAGGAGGAGCTGGAAGAGACCAGGTGGGGCTGGGGCTGTCCCCGAGGGAGGGGCAACCTCTGCCCAAGATGGGGTGAAGTAAGCGAGTGACACACCTTGGCAAGGGCACAACCCAGGTGCAGGGGACACTTCTGGCTCCTCAGCTCACACACTGGTGAGCTGGGAAAGCCCCGAGAAGCCCTCTGTCTGGCCACTTGGTGACATAGGCCCAAGCTTGACATGTGCTGGAATTACTCCCGCTGGCATAAGCCCCAGACACCTCACCCTGCAGAAGCTCAGTCTGAATCCTGCTTGGTCCCTCACTGTCTGGGAATGCAAGGCTCAGCACCCTCCTCCACACTCACCCCACTTTGCAAGCTCCCTGCCTCTGCCACTGTGCTTCAAGACAATCAGCCCCCAGGAAGTCATGCGATCCCTTCCTTGGGAACTCAGGCACCTGTCACTTAAGAGGCCATCAGATGCCTCTTCTGCCTGGCCTCTGGCCTCTCCACCAGCCAGCTCCAGCCTCCTTCCCTGGCCTGTCTCATCTCTCCAGGTCTCCAGGCCTGGAGCCAAACACTGCTTCCACCTTAGCAACCATTAACCCCTTGTCTGCAAAATAGACCCACTGCAACTAGCCTGTAGTTCCCAGAGAGATCATATGGTATTTCGACAGCTGGCCTGGCCTTCCTGAAGCAGTGGCCTGGGAGCCAGACCCTCTTCTCTCAGAACAGCCTCCCACGCCAGGCTCCCAGGTCTCTGGACACCTACACCCTGGCCCCCTTGAGCCCAGGTCCCCAGTGCACCTTTCTTGTCCCTCCTAGCTCTGTGACCTGTGGTCCTAAATTCTGTAGTGACAAAGTCAAAATGCCATCTCTGTTTTCTGCAACCCTTTGGACATGGGCATCTCCCTTGTTAAAATGTACGCTCAGAGCCCAGAGTGAGGGCACATGCCTATAATCCCAGCACTCTGGGAAGAGGGGGTGAGATGATCCCAAGTTTGGGCCCAACTTGTGAAATTTGCCGAGAATCTGTCTCATAGTACACAAAATAGAAAAGGGTTGGGGATGTAGCTCAGTATGAAGGCCCTGGGTTCAATCTCCAGCAATGGGAAAAAAAAAAAAAAAAAAAAGAAAAAGCAAAGAAAAAGCAAAGAGTAAGCTCAGGATCTTGGCTCTGTGACTGTGTTTCTGTCCACTCTGGCCCTCTCCAGTCATGGGGGAAACCTGTGGACCTTGAGCCATTCCTGTGTGGTCACCAATGAGGGGGACACCCTTGGCCACAGATCCGGTACACAGAGCTCCTGTACACCCTCGGGGATCACACCTTCTCTCTGAATGGGGCAAGGTGAGGGCAGCACGGAGAAGGCTGATCTCAGATGGGGGTTTCCCACTACTCTGATGCCTTCATCTTTGTCTGAGTCAGGAGCCCCCTGGCTAGGAGCTAGGATGAGGGGGAAGGAGAAGGGTGCAGGAAAACATTGCCTAGCAGCCCCGATAAGTTCACACACATCCATGCGGTTGAACTGCAGAGCTGTGTGCTGTGGTCCTCCCTCCCCTGCCCTGTCCCAGACCCAGCTCAGGATCCCTGTGCTGAGAAAGTACTCTGGGAAGGGCTGACAGCTGGCCCCACGCCCAAGGGCATGTCCTCCTACTTCACCCTAACATCACGGGTTCTCCCCTAAACTCGTGGAAGGGCAAGAAGTGGGGGAAGCTTGCGCTCCAGGGAGTGGATATGAGGAGGAGGAGAAAGTGGGGAGGAGAGAGCAGGGGACAGAGGCAGGCACAGACTGCAGGGCTGGTAGTGCCTAGGTAACGGTACGAGTGAGGGCCTTGAAGAGAGTGTGAGCCTGGAAGTCTGCAATGCAGTCAGGGTGGCGAGCATACGTGTGGCCATGCATGTGTGTACACACACACGTAGACGCACACACATGCGTGCCTGAGCACTTCTCCAGCCCGGGCCTCTCATCGTCCAAGCCCCTCAAGCAGAGAAGGAGGGAAGCGACAGAAGGATACTCACATAGATCAGCCTGGCGGACATTTTTCATCTGGATGACCCTCACTGTCAGCAGGTGGCATGGAGACTGGCCCTCCTGTGGATTGAGAAGACAGTAAACTCAGGGTTCAAGGCTCACCCCAAGGCCAGTTCCTCTGGGGAGACTCCAACTGTGACGGTTAAACTTGACTGTCAGCTTGATTGGTTTTGGAGACACTCAGGAGATTAGTAAAACACCTCTGTGTGTGTCTGGGTAGGTCACAGGCCATGGCCCCGAGGATTATATCTGGTGTCCCCTCTGGCCTTTGCTTCCCAGCCACCCCGAGGTGAGCAGCTTTTCTCCACATGCACTTCCGCCATGATGTTTCTGCCTTGGAGGCCGCTGACCATGGACTGAAACCTCTGAAACTTCGAGCCAAATTAAATCCTTCTTCTAAGTTGTGTATCCACAATTTTTGTCCCAGCAATGGAAAGCTGACCAATACAACCACCATGCACAACTCCCTGCCCACTTGCACTACAGCAACCTCCTTGCTGTCTTGTCATTGTTTGCTTGGGTATCTGCCTTCTCTCCTGCCTGGAAGATTCTGGAAGCCCCTAAGCCTGAGACCCTTCTGGCTTTCACCTTCACACCTCTGCTGATATATAGAAGGTGTTCAATAAATGTCCATTAGATGAGTGAATAAGTAGATGAATGTTCTGACCCAAGTTCAAGAGGGAATACTTACAACAAGGGAGTCCTGAGGTATTCTCACTCTCCTTCCCCACTGAACAACTCTGTGTGTGTGTGTGTGTGTGTGTGTGTGTGTGTG